GAACGGTAACTATGTACATTAATGCACTTCTAGGGTACAGTGTGGGGTTTTCACATGCAATCTGAAATACTTCCATCAACTGGTCAACAGAGCCTGAAAATTTAAAAATATATTTCCCACTTATATTTACCCCTCTTCATGCGGTTTCATGCAATCCAACAAGTTACAACTGTGGTTTTCCAAATATTTTTTTAATGCATGGAAAAACAAATCCTAATACATACTCTTCCATATTCCCATCTATTCACAAATACTAGAACACTGTATTACAATACAGTGGCCTGTTTTTTTTAATCTCCTCATGGACATTCATATTGTCACAGTTAATGTTTTCAACCTTTGACTGTGACAATACTGCAGTGAAAAAAATTGGCCATTTAACACTTTTTCCAGTATAGCTACATGAAAAATTCCAAAATTGCTGTATCAACATGTGCATACATTTACCATGAATATATATTGCCAAATTATCCTCTTACTTAGAAGCTATACAAATTTAAACTCCTACCAGCAAGCTAACCAACTTATACAAAAGCATGCACTGCTAATTTGTAAACAAAAGATATTCTAAAATTCAACATAAACACAAAACAAAAATCAGAGATTTTCAACTGAAATACGAACAGTATACAGCAAGCAAATGGAAAAACTGGAATCTTCTGGGTGCAAATGTCTATGCTGGCGATCAGATCTGGAAACTAAGTCCTTTGGTCCACCATAGGGTAGGAAAAATGATCCTGAAAGATTCCAGTATTAACCTAAGCTACTCAAATGGGACTACAGTGGTTCCAGCCTGGGTCCAGGAAAAAGCCAATACAAATCCTCTATGCAGGAAAGAATATTTAGGCCCTCAGATTAAGTTTGAAATTAAATTTACAAATATTAGCTAATAATCAAATATTACCAAACCTTAAAAAAAGTGCCTTGAGTGAGAAGCAGTGGAAACAAATTTAGAAACCCACTAGCTTCAAATATCAGCATCTCCAACTACTACCACATAGAATGATTAACCAGCTGATTCAACCCAGCATAATGAACTGGAAGAAAAATTTGAGGAAACTACCTAGATTCTACGAGACAGAAAAGTAGATGGAACCCATAAAAGAGAGGGTAAGAAATGTGATTAGAGCAGCTGAACATACTAACTGAAATACAAAAAAAGAATAAAGGAGAGGCAACAAAGAAATAATGATGACAAAGTAATTATTATAACCAAAGATAAAGGAAAAACCATGTACAATAAACAGGAGAAATGAAAACAATCCATACACAGAACTGTACAACTTTAAAGAGGAAAACAAGACTTTAAAAGCATAAAACAGAAAATGATCTACAAGGGAATGACAATTAGACTGAGAAGAGATTTTTCAGACAGCAAGGAATAAAAAAAAGAGAAAACAGTTAAATAGTATCTTCAAAGCACTAAGAGAAAAAAACTATCCATTCAGAATTTATATACCCAGTAAAACTATCTTTGAATTATTTTGAAGAGGATAAAATAGATACAAAAACTTAAAAGCTTACCACCAACAGAAATTCATTAAAGGAACTTCTTAAGATGTTTTTCAGGAAGAAGAAATGAAATGGACAGGAAAGAAACTCAAGCAAAGAATGTCTACATAAAATATCATCTAATTTGTGGTATCTGAAATAAAAGTACCAAAACAATGGATAACTAGTAAAATCTATAAACCAAGAAGTAGGATGATCAGAGTTAAAGTGTTCTTAAGTTCTTGGGTTGACAGTGAAGATTAAATTAATCATTTTAAAAGTTACAAGTTAACTTTTTTAAAAAGGCAACAAAAACAGAAATAACAAAGAAAAAATTTTTAAGAAGAAAAACAAGGGTAACTAGTAGTTCAACAAACCAAAAACCTTTATCAACTCAAAACAAGGAGACAGGCATGGTGGCTCATGCCTATAATCCTCACAATATGGGAGGCTGAGGCAAGAAAATAACTTGATGTCAGGAGTTCAAGACCAGCCTAAGCAAAAGTGAGACTCAATCTCTACTAAAAACAGAAAAAAATAGCCAGGGGCATCCTAGCATGCACCTGTAGTCCCAGTTACATGGACAGGCTGACGCAAAAGGATCCTTTTAGCCCAGGCGTTTGAGGTTGCAGTGAAATATAACAGCACTGCACACTAGCCAGACTGACAGAGCCAGAGTCTATCTCAAACATAAAACTAAAATTAAAAAAAAAAAAAAAAAAAAACCCCAAAGGCATGGGAGAAGAAAACAAAAACACGTTTACTTCTTAAATTCATTTTTCAGAATGTAAGAACAAAAATAAGTAAAAACAAAAAACTTCTTATGTACTGTAAGTGTATACTAATGAACAGTTTGGAAACACTAGACTGTCCTTTAAACACACAAATTTTATAAAAATGAAAAGTTACCTTCTGTATCTTCATACTCTTTATCGCCCATGTTTAGGGTATATACAGTTTTCTTCTTTATTTCTCTTTGGAAAACCGTTTCCTATAGGATGAATCAAAGAATACATAAGTGTTATGTTTGCGTTCTCCCAATAATATTGATTTTTTAAAAAAACAATTCTGATCAGTGAGTTTTTTTTTTTTTTTTTTGCAGTTTTTGGCCGGGGCCAGGTTTGAACCCGCCACCTCTGCTATGTGGGGCTAGCACCCTACTTCTTTGAGCCACAGGCACCACACAAGTGAGAAATATTTTATACGTAAAAGAACACAGTACAAATCAATTTATAAATAATCCAGTACTCTTTCATATTCCTTGCTATCAAAAAGTACAATCTTATGGAAAGGAAAAGCCTTATATAACTATTAAGCAACAAAGACTAAATGATAAATTTTGTGTCACAGACATAAAAACAACTAAAGTTTAGGGAAAAGAAATCAATTTGGAACAGAGTCTTCCAAGAATTATGTGTGTTGAGGAACTTAAGGCAACAAAGGAGCAAAACAGTACAAGAAATAAAATAGCACTTAAGCTAGGCCAATCTGACAAGATTAAGGACAGTGGGTCAGCAAGTGAGGGAAACTGTGAGTGCATGCCTGTGTATTTACGCCCGTGTGTACTGAGGAAGGTAGGCATGTAAGGCAAGAATATCTGAAAGACTGATTGGCTGGTATTCTTCCTTACTTTGGGATGCCACATCATTTTCCTGCTCCTTTTCTCTCTCCCACCCATCTTCTCTTCTCTCACTCTCTGCTCTCTTCTCTCTTTGCCCCACTCTCTTCCCTTTCTCTAATATAAAATAAACTTATACTTTCATATTACAATCTTGGCCTAGAGAAGTTCTTTTCTTTTCCTGCAAGCAGCACCTACTGAGCAACTGAGCATTTTCTAAATCATTTTGGTGGCCCACATGGGGACTTCTGAAAAAATCACTTCACTAGCTCTATAGTAGAGAAGTCACTTTTCTCCCCCCACCCCACCCCAAAAATGAATAAATAAAAAAATATCTCACAGCAAGAGTAATAAAAGAAATAACCAGAGCAATGTAAATTAAGTAGGGCTACATCATACATGGATCTCTAACGATTGAGAAGCTCAGATTGAATCTTATAAATCTCTCTGAATAAGAGTAACACTGGCCGGGCACAGTGGCTCACACCTATAATCCTAACGTTCTAGGAGGCTGAGGCAGGAGGATCACTTGAGCTTACAGGCTGGAGACCAGAGCCAGAGCCAAAACCAGAGAGAGAACCCATCTCTAAAAATAGTTGGGCACTTTAGCCATCGCCTGTAGTCCCAACTACTCGGGAGGCTGAGGCAAGAGGATCACTTGAGCCCAAGAGTTTGAGGTTGCTGTGAGCTATGACACCACAGCACTCTACCAAGGTGACATGAGTTTCAAAACAAAAACAAAAAAAGAGTAACATGATGCTTAAAAAAAAAGTGCTGTAAGTGATTTCTTTCTTAAAAACATTGATTTGCAAGCAAAGTATACAATGAATTACATTGTGGCAAAATTAGAAGCAAAGAGATTTGAATAGCTAGAGTAACCAACTATGAAGTGAATTACAAATGCAAGAAATTAAAGAGCTGAAGAATTTCTGAGGTTTGGTAAGCAAATGCAGGAAAAGACACACTGAATTTCTGGCCTAAGGGACTAGGAAAATGATAATTATAAGAGGCCCAAATGAGAAATGTAGGAAAGAAAGTAAATTTGGTGAAGGGAAAATAATCATGATATAAGATAATTTTTTTTAATTAACTCAATATTCCTTCTTGAACTAATGCAAGACACATGATTATAATGAAATGTCCAAATACATCTTAGAATATTTAAGTACAAGAAATCCTCAATTTCATCAGTTATGATTTTTCCATATATGTACCAGAATTTTCTATTTATTTTAAAATAATTTCAGGTAGTAGTTCTACAGTAAAGGCATGAACTGTCCAGGAAATTTCCCTATTTTGGAAAACTTCCTGTTTTGTAAAACAAGAAGAAATGCAAAGTCCCACACTTTGGTTCAAAAAATCAACTACTAAAGCAGAAGATAAAGAATAGAAAGCTTAAGGACAATGGTCGTCATCTTCAAATGGAATGAAGGGTTCTGAGGAGAGGTAGGATAAGCATCAAAGAAGGTATTCAAATAGGAGTGTTCCCTAAGAGGGGCATTAATTATTACTAAACACAAACCTTGTAAATATAAAATAAAACTCCAATCACTGGTCATATTATTCAAAATCTATTTGTAATAAAGGCAAGGCAACAGACTCAAGTTATGGCCTGTCAAATAGTTACTCTACTGACATCTACAGAAGTACTCGGTCAATTTGCACACAGTGATTTCTTATGCACACCAAAAGGGTTTCTGGAATAAATTTTATTATACACACACACACAAAACAGAAGGTATTCAAGCAAAGGCCCAATCACCTTTTGTGGGATTTTTTTTTTTTTTTTTGAGACAGAGTTTCACTTATTAACCCTCAGTACAATGCCATAACGTCACAGCTCACAGCAACCTCCAACTCCTTGGGCTTAGGCGATTCCCCTGCCTCAGCCTCCCAAGTAGCTGGGACTAAAGGCGCCCGCCACAACGCCCAGCTATTTTTTTGTTGCAGTTTGGCCTGGGCTGGGTTTGAACCCACCACCCTTGGTATATCGTGCCGGCGCCCTACGCACTGAGCCACAGGCACCGCCCTGTGGGATTTTTTTTTTAACTCAAAGATTTATTGAATGCTATAGACATACTACCAAGCAATTTTCTCAGTACTGAACAAACAAAAATCCCTGCCTTTACATGCCAGTGGTGAGACAAAATAAAAAAAGATAGTAAGTAAAATACCTAGTATTAGCTATTGAGAAGTGCTGTGGAGAAAAATTAAAAAGTGTGGCTAGGCTGGGTGTGGTAGCTTACTCCTATAATCCTAGCACTCTAGGAGGCTGAGGCAAACGGGTGGACTGCTTGAGCTCAGCAGTTTGAGACTAGCCTAAGCAAAAGCAGACGCTGTCTCTAAAATTAGCCGAGCACTACAGCAAGCACCTGTAGACACCTACAAGAGGCAGAGGCAAGAGGATCACTCGAGCCCAAGAGTTTGAGGTTGCTTTGAGCTATGACGCCATGTCATTCTACCTAGGGGGACAAAGTAAGACTCTGTCTCAAAAAAAAAAAAAAAACAGGCTTGGTGCCTGTTGTTCAAGTGGCTAAGGTGCCAGCCACATACACCTAAGGTGGTAGGTTCGAATCCAGCCCGGGCCCGCCAAACAACAATCATGGCTGCAACCAAAAAACAGCCAGGCATTGTAACGGGCACCTGTGATCCCAGCTACTTTGGAGGCAGAGGCAGGAGACTCGCTTGAACCCAGGAGTTGGAGGTTGCTGTGAGCTGTGATGCCACAGCACTCTACCCAGGGGGCAGCTTGAGGCTCTGTCTCAAAAAAAAAAAAAGAAAAAGAAAAAACCTCTCTTTGTACCATGCAGTTGGGTGGACTGATCCAATACTACAGCAGGATTCAGGTTGAATCCAGCCTATGGCAACAAGAGCCCAACTCCAGCCAACCATGTGCTCCAGGAGTGGGAATTCGTCTCCAGTGTGCAGACGCTCAGTTCTAAGCACAGGTTGAAAACTACAGGCACAAGCCATTGAAGCTGGGATGTTCTGGTGCTAGTATTTCAACTGACTTACACCAACTATCGCTCTATACAGTTACAATAATAAAGTGCCTCCAGCAATAAGGTCAAATATGGAGGTGCTAAAAAAAGTATACATATTTTGAGAGATGTTATCTGCATAGCACCTATGCCTTCCCAAAGTTGAACATAATTACAGTAGCAATGTGTAGTATGACATTCGCTCGTATGATGGTGTTAATCTAATAATTGTTAACATTAGTCACCATGCAACAGGCAGGACAGTCAAAGAAAATGGCAGAATCATGGTTGTCATTCGGGGAGTACGAGACCATATTGAAGTGATTATTTGAAATTCAAGAACACTGGCTGGACACCCACATGTCAATGGTTGGAGCACTGGCCTCATGCTCCAAGGTTGGCCTAGCCCGCTAAAAAAAAAAGAAAAGAAAATTCGAGAACACTGCAGAAGTGCGAGGACACTGAAGGCATAAGTATGCAACAGATCCTCCAACACACCCAACAACTGCACCTATTCGTGATAAGTTTGAGATGCATGGTACTGTGTGGGATGTGCACAAGGGAAGAGCCGCGAGACCTCGGACAGCGACAAGTCCTGCTGTGTCTGCTATCCTGTTGGAACAGTTTACATGCTCACTGCAGAAGTCTACCAAACAGAGTGCACATGAGACCAGATATAGCAGAAAAAGCATACGACGCATTCTTTTTCTTTCTTTTTTTTTTTTTTTAAGAGACAGAGTCTCATTTTGTGGCCCTTGGTACAATGCTATGGTATCACACAGCTCACAGTAACCTCCAGCTCTTGGGCTTAGGCGATTCTCTTGCCTCAGCCTTCTAAATAGCTGGGACTACAGGCGCTTATCACAATACGCAGCTATTTTTTTGTTGCAGTTTGGCCAGGGCCAGGTTCAAATACACCACCCTCGGTATATGGGGCCAGCACTCTACTCACTGAGCCATAGGTGCTGCCCACAACGCATTCTTAAAACAGCAAAGTGGGAAGTTTTCATCCTAAGATAATTACATTCACTGAATGAAGACAACCCTGATAGAAGGGTGTAATATTGTGAGTGGTTCCAAAACATGGTACAAGCGGATGAGAAGTTTGTGGGGAAAATGGTTTGGTCTGATGAAGCACAGTTTAAATCAAATGGAACAGTGAATTGACGTTGTGTGTACTGGGCTCCAGAAAACCCATGTGTGGAAAAAGATATCCATTTACTGGGCCTCAATGTCAGTGTGGACTATGGGGACTCATCAGACCATTCTTTTTTGAAGGTCCAGGTACTGGTACCTAGACATGCTACGCATATCCATTTTACCTGCCAATTCTTACACTTGGGGGGGATGATCTGTTTTACTTCTAATAAGATGGCGGCCCACTGCACTTCC